AAATGGTAGAAAACAGAAAAAATGAGAAAAACAGGTGAAAAAATTTGAACTGAGCTTGCTGTGAACATTTGTAGAACATGGAGTGAACACAGATAACATGGAAAAAATGTGAAGAACACAGCTGAATATAGAGAAAATATGCAAATACAGTATGATTATTGAAGGTTTGGATACGTTGGGGATGAGAAGGTAAGGGAGGGAAAGGGTAAGGTGATTACTCTGATAAAGAGTTAGGCTGGAGAGGGACTTGATCGGATATATTTATGTTCGATGATCTAAGACAGAGGAAATGGAGCTTGGCTAATGTCCTGTTTAATTTTACTACGTTAGAAGTAAGGTGATCTTAAATCTCAGGTGATTTAGTTGGATAATAAAGAACTTATTCAAAATGAGATAAGCGGGGAACAAGAGTTGAAACTCGGTAACTGAACTGGCTTTTATTTACTATGTCTGAAAATGTAGTTGGGTGTTTAAATCTCAGGGGGATTTGGAGTGATAGTAATGAATTTACAGGAGTGAACTTGGACAGAGGACAAAAGCTAGAGTTTTATAATTGTTTATATCATATTTACTATGTCTGAAATACAGAGGGTAAAAATTTAAGGGAAATTGATGGGTTATTTACAAAAATACGAGAGAGAACTAAGGTGGGGACGAGAGCTGGAGCTCGTTAACTGTTTTGATCTTATTTACTACGACAGAAATATGACTGTTTAAAATTTCAGGGGGATTGGACTGCTAGTAGCGAAAATGTGGTCTCTGTCAAATTTGGGTCTTCAATTGGACTCTGATTAATTTTGATCATGAACTGGACTCTGAATATTTTGGCACAAAGTGGATTCTGGCAAATTTTCGGTATAAACTGGACTCTGATGAAAATTGGGTAGAAAATGGACTCTGTCAAATTTTTCTCAGATTACAGGACTCTGACAAATTTTGGACTCTGACGAATTTCTGTCGTTAATTGGACTCTGAATATTTTTTGGTATAAAATGGACTCTGTCGAATTTTGGTAGATTACAGGACTCATTACAATTACAGGAAATTACAGGAAATTTGAGCTTAAACTGATCTCTGAGGAATTTCTGTTGTTAATTGGACTCTGATCATTTTTGGCCTTTACTGGACTCTGACAAAATTTTGGTATAAAATGGACTCTGAAGAATTTTGCTAACAAAGTGGACTCTGAAGAATTTTGAGCTTAAACTGGTTTCTGACTTATTTTCTGTCTTAAATGCACATAAAACTAAATGTTATGGCTAAGTTGTGTGTTTTCCTTAACAAAACGTCTAAGACAATATTCTCTGAAAATGATCTTTGAAAAATGTGTGATTGAAAACGGGCAAAGGTTGTCCGTAGAGTTTACCTGGAAATGCGGCGTCCTAAAGGGGATTTTTTTCTGAATTTTTCTTTAAGATTTTCCTACTTATTTTCCTCATAAGAACGCATAACAAACTTCTAAAATCTTAGAAATTTTTTTCCTCATAAGAATTCCCTAATTCCAAATCTGTGACTGCCCAAATTCGCCTGAAAACCCTGGCGGTCTACACACGAATTTTGAATTTCTCCCATAAGAAACCTTTAACTCCAAATCGGCCCTTTTCGCCTTGAATTTTCCCCATAAGAAACCTTTAACTCCAAATCGGCCCTTTTTTTTCCAAAGTTCGGTTATTGAAAACAGGCAAAAGTTGTCCGTAGAGTTTACCTGGAAATGCTGTGACATATTGACCCTTTTTTCTCAATTTTTTATATAAGATTTTCCTACTTATTTTCTCATAAGAACGCTTAACAAACCTCTAAAATCTCGGAAATTATTTTCCTCATAAGAATTCCTTACTTCCAAATCAGTGACTACCCAAATTTACCTGAAAACCCCTAAGCCATATGGGCCCCTTTTTGCCTTGAATTTTCCCCATAAGAAACCTTTAACTCCAAATTGGCCCCTTTTACCCCAGAAAAAAAAGGGGCCCATACGTCTTACTCCCTACTACTGTCGAGGACCGGGCCGCGGGGATGCTAAGCCCCGAAATCATCTCAAGATAACCTCAAGATAACCTCAAGGGGTGTTGACATCATTAGTTAATAAAGCATTATAACCATTAAATAAATCCTGTTTCAGAACATTTACTAGTGCTCACCTACAACTTAATGTGAGAGCTAGTTATGTTTCCACTGTCAACTGAGCAAAATATCATTCCATATATAAAATAACCAAACCCATGCTATTGATAATGAAAGTGACGACGTTTTTGTCAGTCCTTCTCAAATCGATACTGAAGGAAGAGCGAGTAATGAGACAATATTTGGCAAGAGAGCAGATAAGGAACAGATGAATAAATGAAGGCACACATAACAAACTAAAGGCAACCCTTGGAGAAGATAATGTTCTCTAGTCAGAAGAGGACTAAGGGCCTTCTTCATTTCAGGCTTCTCGATCACGTCGTCATCGATCTTATTCGACTCTGTGCTGTGTTGTGACTCTAACTCCTTCTCTTTCATTCGTAATATTCATCTCAAACATTCCTTGTCGCTCTGACATCTCTTCTTTATCCTGTTTTTGCCAATCAATATGTGGAATACCTTGAAACTGTTCTTCCAACCATTAATGACATTCATCCGTCTCTCTGGCTTTACTATGTTGATAATATTGTTGTTCTTTAGCTTCACTTATCTAGTCCTTTCCAGTTCTTTCTCTCTTCGTTCAATTGTATGGTATCTTCCACCAATTTCAAAGTTGAATGAAAATGTAATTCCCTCCTTCCCTTCCGAGATATTCATGTTTATAGTTAGGTGACGGGTGGCGCTTACTCTGTCTACCACAAGCCTATGTACAGTGGATAATATACCCTAGCACTGTGCAAACCATGATGGGTTGCACCACCATCATTGCAACCCCATGATGGTTCTGTGACGGCGAACACTCTGTAGTATCACATCTGTGTCCTCTACGACAAGATGAAATCAAGAAATTGAAGATCAATCGATCAGAAGCCACATCCACCATTATTGCCGGCTACCACCCCACTGTAGCTCCTCCTAGCAGCCAATTAGACGTAGTCTTATACCTGGCGAGAGGAGGAGCCGCCTCTCGGACCCCTCTGCCCTCTCATTAGGGGAACAGTATGCAATCAGTGTTTCAGTCACAACCATCTCCGACGCCCAAACCGCTAGATGCCAATTCTGGGGTGATTCCTGCACTCATCCACCTTGCAGACCGAATACCCAAAACCGACCATCGACTGTAAGTCTCCTAAATCAACGCCCTCTACGCTGCAAATGATCTGACATTCATCATCGCTCCTGGCGTCGTACATGCGGCTACTACCAAGAGAGAGAGAGAGACTCCAGCTTCAAATATCAACGTTCCAACAGAGGCACGAGCTGACATGCTTATTACACCGAAAGAAGACGCATCTCCCCATACGCTTGCTCCAGATGCAGCCACAAGCTTAGCACCAACTATCAGCACTCCTGCAGCCTTGCTCCACCAGGTCCTCCTACTTCAGCAACTACATCAACGACTCCAGCATTAACAGGTATAACACCAGCTTCCACAACATCAGCAACATCACCAGCCCCTACAACACCACCGCTGACAATTGAACAAGATCAAGATGGCGAACAAGACCCTTATGGAACCCGACTCTACCAGACTGAAACTTGGAACAAGGAATTCGAGGATTGGAAAAAGAAAGACCCAGATACGAAAAAACACTTCAATACACTTTGAGGCGTCTACAATACACCGACATTGTGTCATTAACTTCCTCAACACAGACATCGTGCACCTACAGTACTACATTCGAAGCACTAACACCAAGACCACTGCCGGAGTTCAGACACGTTGCTAAGCCTAGGGGACGGCCAAGAACAAGATTAAGATCAGGCGGGGTAAAGCACCAAGCCCACACAGATAAGACTCAGCCACGTCTCGCCCCATGGTCGCCAGCTTTCAAGCCGTCCAACCTACCTGGTTGATGGGGTTGATGGGGTTCTGGGAGTTCTTCTACTCCCCAAGCCAATCCGTACGTATCTTCGTCACCCAGTTTGCCAAATTCTTTGGACATCGCATCGTATCATCCTTTCATTAGGAGCCTGTTCGCTCAACAGGTTTATACATGGGAGATCAGATCAACCGTTCGTATCAAGGCTCTGGCACACAGTTGAATAGTGGCTCATCCTGTTCCTTATATCATTGATACTTACATTTGTACTAGGCACGTCAATTGAGAGCCTTAATGAACCCTAGGTATTAAGGTTACAGTGAGAGAGAGAGAGAGAGAGAGAGAGAGAGAGAGAGAGAGAGAGAGAGAGAGAGAGAGAGAGAGAGAGAGAGAGAGAGAGAGAGAGAGAGAGAGAGAGAGAGGGAGGGAGAGAGAGAGAGAGAGAGAGAGAGAGAGAGAGAGAGAGAGAGAGAGAGAGAGAGAGAGAGAGAGAGAGAGAGAGAGAGAGAGAGAGAGAGAGAGAGAGAGAGAGAGAGAGGAGAGAGAGAGAGAGAGAGAGAGAGAGAGAGAGAGAGAGAGAGAGAGAGAGAGAGAGAGAGAGAGAGAGAGAGGGAGGGAGGGAGGGAGGGAGGGAGAGAGAGAGAGAGAGAGAGAGAGAGAGAGAGAGAGAGAGAGAGAGAGAGAGAGAGAGAGAGAGAGAGAGAGAGAGAGAGAGAGAGAGAGAGAGAGAGAGAGAGAGAGAGAGAGAGAGAGACAAAAAAAATTGACCACACAAAGAACTTTTAAATTAAAACCACACCTTACAATAATGTTAAACAAGCACCTTGTTTTGCCACACACATTACACCACTCACATGCGAATGAACACATATAGTGACACAACCGACTATACTTAAGAACAAAATAATTTGATAATGTTGTTTGTTAACCAGTTATATTTGATTAATGTTTTCATTAGTAGTCAAGTGGATTCTATATTTAGTGTGATCCCATTAGGTTATCATGGTCGTGCAACTTTAGTGTTGTGTGAAGTGTGACAGTGTGTGTGGGTCCTACCTCTGGCATCAGCAATATTAACGTCGACGTTCAGCATCAGTAGAGTCTCCACCACCTTTCTCTGTCCTCCAGCGACAGCAAAGTGCAAAGGTGTCTCTCCTAGGCTGTCATTGGCGTTGATGTCCATTCCAGAATGGATGAGCGACTTCACCAGTTCATTGTCACCCGAAAAGGCAGCATGTAAAAGGTCACTTAAATCTGTCAAAAGTTTTAAGCACGTATTTACTTCATTTTCATGATTCGTCAATCTAAAGTTACTTTCGAAATAATAAGCTGAAAAACAAGAATTTGTTTAAATATTCAAGTGAAAAATAAAGATAATTAAATTATTACACAATTTTTAATTATTATGTTATAATATTTCTTGTTTGTTTGTTGGGTTTCTTACACAATTACACACGCACCCTACAAGTTAACTATCACGAATAACCCGCACCCTACCTGATCATATAAGCTTATAATGACATAAATAATATTTTGACCGTTTGTCAAATATACAGATGACAATGTCCTCTTTCCACGAGAGGTTATCTCAACCTGCTATCATGAGATATGATCAGGAAATATGTTATTAATCTCAGTTAAGCAAAATACAAATAATATTTTGCTTTTATTTGTATAGTTCTTATGTGGCCTTCAAAATTGCAGAAGGGTTTCCTAGAATCTCAGTTCCTTGCACCTTAGCTTCAGTTACTAAATAACATCAACAATGTCAAAACAGACTCAAAGTTCTTAGAACTGTTTAGGGTACAACCCACAATGCAGTGTAACGGTCAAAATACCTAAAATTATATGTTTGCCACATATTAGATCTTTGACAGGCTATTGGGCACCAGCCATAGTTCTTTATCATAGCAACAGTATTTATAAACATGAACAAAATAAACATGCAAAATAAAGCTCTCAGAATCATCCTTGGCTGTCATATAACTATGAAAGTTCTTAATATGATCAAGGAATTAGATACACCTAGTATCGAATATTTAATATCAGAAATTAATCTAATGATAGAGCTAAAGGTGTTGCGTGGTAAGGAAAATAATATTGAATCAGTTTAACATTTAAAACATATATGCAGTGGAACTAGTGATTTTGAATGCATTAAACGAACAGCCATTCACATTAAACTTTTTGTGCTGCATGAGGTATGTAAAGATTAAAAAGTGGAGCACTTCTTTTCCCCCTAGCAGACAGCAAAAATCACAGATACCATATGCACTTATGGATTTCTCAGTTACAGGCAGGGGTGGGTAGTCCTGTCATTGTTCATCAGCTCTATGGAAATAAAACTGGAAGGAATGTAAGAGTCAATAAATAGACATCCACCTTGTAAACTGACCTGGTGAAAAATTGAAAACGTTGCAGTAGACAGCTTACTTCCGACTCCTTCCTCTCATTACCAGAAATAAATAGCTTACAATCAAATTGCAACGTGCTTGTCTCTAAAGCCAACATATATATGTGCATGTTTAATAATGTAGACAATATCAAGTTGTTGTGGATCTCCTCTCGCAGTGAACAGCAGGATCTTGATAATGGTGATACCCTATCTAAGTTTGCAGCACATAAAGACTATGTTTGATACAGCCTTGAGATATCAAATAGCTCTAAAGAGTGACATTACTTAAAGCTATTAAGTTTTCAAAAATATTTGATCCTTGTTTATTTTTAAGCGAGGGCTGACAATCAGTATAACGAACTCAGTATATAGGCAAGACCACAACGTGTCTTTCTAGGCGATTAACAATGCACAAAAAACAGGGCTCCATCAAAGAACATATAATCGCCACACACACAACGAGACGATCACCAGGAATATTTTAACAAGCAACACCGAAATAATTGATATATACAATGACAATTGAAGATTAGAAATCAGTGAAGCGCTACATATCAAGAAATCTAGACCAGCAATTAATAACCAGCTAATACCCCTGACGCAATGCGTCTCAGACACAATGGGAACAAAGGTGTATTGACCTTCCAGTCGCTTGTACGTGATTGACTTTGCTATGTCTCTGTAGTTGGCCGCCCTACCTGCCTGATCAGCACTGAAGCGTAGGTAGGTGTCATCCAGGGTGGATACACACGTGTAGTCCCACATCAGCACATCAGTTTTTGCCCCTCTTTCAGGAGTATATTGTGATGCCATCTGGGCAAAGTGCGGGGTCATTCGGGTTTTGGTCCCCTAGGATGCGAGGTTCTCTCTCTGCTGAGCACTGAGCAGAGACAAGGCTCCTCTTGAAGATGTCATTGACCTCGTTGTGTTTTGCATGCCAGCCGTTTGTGCTTCTGCAGTGCAACCCATGCAATCCATATTGGTCTGCTTCCACCCTGTTGCAAATACACTTGTATTCACTGTAAATTGGGTCACCAAGGCGGAAGGTCACCGAATTTTGGTTGTGGGAGATTCCTAGGTGAGGTATTTAGACAGGACGTTTTGTGCCAGAGATAGGGGGAACAGATTAAGGGTCTGCTATCCGGGAGCTGGAATTGGAGATATTGTTGACAACATGAAAGATATTATGACGGGAAATGGGACAAACCCATTATTTCTATTAGTGCAGGGGGTAATGATGTTGGACGGGTTAGGAGTGAGAAATTTAACAAATCCATAGAATTAGTTAGGAGCAAGGGAGGAATCCCAATCATATGTGGCATTCTTCCGAGAAAGAGCGTTGAGAATGAATGGTTGTCGAGGCCACTTGGTGTCAATCGCCGGCTGGAAAGATATTGCAAATCAAATGCAATATCTTTCATAGACAACTGGGAACACTTCTATGGAAGAAGTGAAATGTATGCTCGTGATGGGGTGCATCTATCGAGGGCTGGGGTTGTTGCTGTTGCGAACTCGTTGGAACCAGTGGTTAGAGGCATTTGTTTGGGTTTAAACTGTTAGTAGATAGTGGTATGGGAATTGATAGGGAGGAAGGAGGTAATAAAAATATGTGTTTGTTGGAGAAACAAATTGGCAAAATGATCAGGGAAAGAGAAGGGCCTCAAAATAACAATTCACTTAGGGTATATTACACTAACAGTAGAAGTCTAAGAAACAAAATAAACGAGTTAAATGCTCTTATCTGTACAGAACAAATAGATATTATTGCACTTACCGAAACGTGGATGAATGTAGAAAATAGAGAACTATTAGCTGAATATCAAATAAATGGATTTAAACTATTTCACACAGATAGATATATTAGACGAGGAGGGGGAGTAGCCATATATGTTAGGGACAATTTGAAATGTAGTCTCAAAGAGGGAATCAAAACTGAGCCACACACAGAAACTATTTGGATAGAATTAAACGAAAAAGCAAATAATATTATAATAGGAGTTATATATAGGCCACCAAATTTAGACAGAATGGAAGCAAAGCATCTATGGGATGAAATATCTAGAGCATCTAGATCTAACAGTATTTATGTCATGGGTGACTTTAATTTTAGTGGAATAAACTGGGTGAACAAAACAGGGAATAATGAAGCAGAAGATTTTCTAGAATTAATTGACGATTGCTTTCTTACGCAACATATTAAGGAACCAACGCGGGGAAATAATATTTTAGATTTAGTGTTAACTAACAGGGAAACACAAATTAAGGACATGGAAATAGGGAGTGAGCTAGGGAACAGTGATCACAAAGAAATCAGATTTAGCATAGAATGGAATAGATCTGTAGGAGAAAATTCTGTTAAAGTGCCTGATTTTCGAAAAGCTGATTTCAATAGCCTAAGAATTTTTTTGGGTCAAATAGATTGGAATGTCTTGGGGATGGGGTGTGGGCTAGACGTGAACCCAGCGACAGGTGACGGAAAAGGGGATTTCGATGTGGATTCAAAATATAACCTATTTAAAAATATTCTAAGCAAAGCCCAGGAACGTAGTATACCATATAAATTGAATAGATCGAATACTAATGATCCAAAGTGGATAACAAAGGATCTGAAGAACCTTATAGGTAAAAAGAGAGCGTGGTACAAAAGGATTAAGAATGGGGAAGTTAGTTTAGAACAGGAATTCGTACAACTGGTTAGAAATGTTAAAAAAGAGATAAGGAAAGCAAAAAGAAACTACGAAGTTCGCATAGCAGAGCAAGCAAAGACAAATCCTAAAGGGTTTTTTCAGTTATATCGAACTAAGACTAGGGAAAGGATAGGTTCATTAAAAACTGAGACAGGTCAAATAATGGATAATGACGAGGAGATGAGTAGTATTTTTAATAAATATTTTATATCTGTATTTACTAAAGAGGAACTTAACAATATGCCTTCAGCCGAACAAGTATATGTGGGTGGGGACGAGGACAGGTTGACTAGTTTAGCAGTTACCAGGGAGGATGTAATTAAACAAATAGTAAAACTAAAACCAAACAAATCCCCAGGGCCGGATGAAGTGTTTGCCAGGGTGCTTAAAGAATGCAAAGAGGAGCTTTCCGAGCCACTGTCTACCATATTTAATAAATCAATAGAGTTAGGTAGAGTGCCAGAGTCATGGAAGGTAGCTAATGTGGTACCAATTTTTAAGAAAGGAGATAGATCACTTGCGTCAAACTATCGGCCAATTAGCCTAACGTCTATTGTGGGAAAGTTACTTGAATCGATAATTGCAAATACAATTCGTCTTCATCTTGAAAAACATAAATTAATAAATGAGTCGCAACATGGTTTTACAAATGGCCGTTCATGTTTAACAAATTTGCTATCTTTTTATTCCAGCATAGTTGAGGCAGTTGATAGTGGTAAGGATTGTGATGTTGTGTACCTTGACTTTAGCAAAGCTTTTGATACAGTGCCACATGAAAGACTGATTAAAAAAATAGAGGCTCATGGTATTGGGGGTGCTATATTAAGTTGGATTAGGGCATGGCTATTCCAAAGGAAACAGAGAGTTAGTATAAATGGGGTTAAGTCAGAGTGGGATAATGTTGTTAGTGGAGTGCCTCAAGGCTCTGTCCTGGGACCTCTGTTGTTTATAATATATATAAATGATTTAGATTCAGGTTTGAGTAGCAACATCTGCAAATTTGCAGATGATACAAAAATCGGTAGGGAAATTAACACGGAAGAAGACTCACTATCACTTCAAGTTGATCTAAATAGGGTTTTGAAATGGTCAAAAGATTGGCAGATGCAGTTTAATGCTGATAAATGTAAAGTTCTGAGGCTAGGTAATGATGATAGAGTTACAAGATAC